CTGGGCTTCTGAAAATAGAGAAAATTTTCAAGAATGTAAGAAATAATAAAGCAAAGATTAGAATGTAAAACCAGGAATAATAACCCTGAGAGAAAAATTGACATGTTCCTGAAGAATTGTACTAGAATTTGATGCTATAGCGAAATAAACTATCTGTAACAATTGGTCAGAAATAAGTGGCTTCCAAAACAACAAATAAATAAAACAATCAACAAATAGAATATTTACCTATCAAGTTTTCATTTGAAGAATTCAAAATGTGCCATTTTAACGATAACTATGGAAGTATTTTCCATCTAAATTCTAAAAACTAGTGTCGCTCACGCTGTTGTTTGCAAACCACTGCATTGAAATTACTGGGAAGCTTATTAAAATGTATATTCCTAGGCCATATCCCAGAGCCATTGAGTCAAAATCTTGGGGAGTAAGACCTGGAAGTCTGAATTTTTCACAAACTCATTAGGTAATAATCCTGATGCACACCAAATCTGAGACTCAATGATGTGTATTACAAGGGTCACAGAATGGGGCAGGTTCTCCTGCTTCACATCTTCGAATACAAAGCCAAGATTGGTTTCATCCCAAGGCTTTCAACCCATAAAAAGTAATAAGGTGTAATAATATAACAGAAACAAGTACTTGAAGTCAAGTATAAAACCTACTCTTCTCCTTTAACGATGCGACTATACTGTTTTCCTCCTCTAATTCCTCTCCTCTCTCTGATAAAGCCTTAAGCAGAATGGAAACAAACCACTCCTTCCTTAAAGAAATTTAAAGTATCCAGAAAAACAAGTTGTACCAAAAAAAAAAAAAAAAAAAAAAAAAAGAATTTAAAGTAGGCCGGGCGCGTGGTGGCTCATGCCTGTAATCCTAGCACTCTGAGATGCCGAAGTAGGTGGATCGCTCATGGTCAGAAGTTTGAAACCAGCCTGAGCAAGAGTGAGACCCCGTCTCTACTAAAAATAGAAAGAAATTAATTGGCCAACTAAAAATATATATAGAAAAAATTAGTCGGGCATGGTGGCACATGCCTGTAGTCCCAGCTACTTGGGAGGTTGGGGCAGGAGGATCGCTTGAGCCCAGGAGTTGGAGGTTGCTGTGAGCTAGGCTGACACCACGGCACTCTAGCCTGGGCAACAGAGTGAGACTCTGTCTCAGAAAAAAAAAAAAGAAAGAAAGAAATTTAAAGTATAACCAGAATGACAGATTCAGTTTACTCATCACTGACCAGGAGAACCTAAATCTCTTCCAATAAACTTAATTCAGAAGTATCTTCCCATAAGGGAGCAATATTTCCAAAGTATGCTACTTACTTTTAGCGACTTTCTAAATTATTCTTCTTCATTTCAAAATTTCTACCAATTTCTCTATATTCTACAATCACTTTACTGACATTGTGAGAGCCTCAGACTTTCCTTTTCTAAATCAAGCCTATTCCTTACATGGTTTTGGCCTTGAAATTTTAATCATTCTAAATGCTGTTGAACAAACACTTTAATCAACTTCAGTTGTATTTGATTAAGAATAAAACCTACAGGCCGGGCGAGGTGGCTCACGCCTGTAATCCTAGCTCTCTGGGAGGCCGAGACGGGCGGATTGCTCGAGGTCAGGAGTTCGAAACCAGCCTGAGCAAGAGCGAGACCTCGTCTCTACTATAAATAGAAATTAATTGGCCAACTAATATATATAGAAAAAAAAAAAAAATTAGCCGGGCATGGTGGCGCATGCCTGTAGTCCCAGCTACTGGGGAGGCTGAGGCAGGAGGATTGCTTGAGCCCAGGAGTTGGAGGTTGCTGTGAGCTAGGCTGACGCCACGGCACTCACTCTAGCCTGGGCAACAAGTGAGACTCCGTCTCAAAAAAAAAAAAAAAAAAAAGAATAAAACCTACATAACAATAACCTAATAAGAAATAACTCTTCGTATCAGAACACTAGTGTCACTAAAGTTAGTATAAAACTCCCCACTGCTACATTTGACTGGCCAAAAAAAAAGTTTTAATTAAAAAAAAGAAACAACTCTTCAATCAACAAGTTAGAACTGCTTTAATATAGTGGATGAGTGTAATAAGTGAAAAGGACTATCAATGCCTTCTCTTTGGAACTCCTAGTGTCTTTGGTCGAACACAATATCATAAGGGCAAAGTCTGCACTGTCTCTCTGCCTCTGGTGTGCTTGCTTTGGTATGTCTTTCCTTTATACATCACTATCATAGACCATTTTTTAAATTCAATTATCTAGATCATAATTTTTTTCCCACCTTTCTACGATCATGGAGAATGATCATAATTTTTTTAAGGAAGGTGTTTTAAAGAGTACGGACTATGTTGTATCTTTGTGTCTTAGCACCTAGATACTGCACCATAGATAAAGTCTATAATACTAATTCCTCTTATGAATGTGGAGACTGAGGCTCAGAGGCTGTGGGCATGCCCAAAGTCATATCAGGAATTACAGGCAGAAACTCAACCCTAAATCTCCTGATACTAGATTCTGTGTGCTCTATCCATTTAGCCTTGATGACTCTCAGCACTTGAAAAATAGGAACTTTACATCTCTTTAAGGGCTTCCCACATTTGCTACAGTAAATGAAGCAACAAATGATTAGATACTTACTGGAGGCATCTTCCATCAGGCTCTCTTTATCCTCGGATTTTGACAATCTTCTTTTGGAAACCATTTTGACCAAGGTCTTTTGCCCATAAATTGCTTCCTAGAGCAAAAACAGAGAATAGATGTTACCCTCTAGAAGCTAAATTCCGAGAAGTTACAGCTATAGCTCAAAGAAAACTGCTGTATCCAAAACCAGAGGAGTTCTAGTCTTCATACTAATGCTTTCTAAATCCAGGTGCTGAGCAAATTTCAATCCCTACATCTGGCCAATACTGTCTTCCTTTCACGACTTGTTTACCTAGTTGCTTCTTTAGGCAGACCACTTGTCTGTTGCTGAAGGACAAACCCATAATTCTCCACCTGAGATTCAAGATTCTTTATCATCTAGCCCCAAACTACCTGTCCTTTAACTCATTAATTCAATACTACATATTAGGGACTGTGCTAGGTGCTGGGGTTACAATTGTGAACAAGACAGACATGATCTCTGTCCTCAGGGAATTTATAGTATAGTAACACATAGTCAATGTTTTTAACTACAGTTGTATAAGTGTTATAAAAGAAAAGTACAGGGTGCTATGAGGGCTCACAAGGAAATTTATCTATTTGAGAGTGCAAGTGGTGAAGAAAAGCAGGGACAATTTCTCGGGGAAAATCTCCCCAAAAAAGTGAATTTTAAGCAGCGATTTGAGAGTTGGGATATGAATTAGCAAGTATAAGAGGTATAATAGTAGTAGTCCAGGCAGAGAAAAACTCGTACTGAAACATAAAGGAGCCTGTAGAATTATAAATGACACTGCAGAGGTAGGGGAGGGCCTGAATCACATAACTTTCTAGTTTATCTTGTAAACTAGAACCTTCCTGGTCTTAGTACCTTTGCACAAAAGTGTTCTCTTCATCTGAATTGCTCTTAATTGCCTGGAAGTTTCTACTCATCCTTAAAGACTCAGTCAAAGGTCATCCTCCTTGAAAAGTGTTCCTCCTATCCCTAAGGGAGTTTGCTATTCCAGGGTCCCTGTTCCAGGGAGTATACCTACCACATCGCAATAGGGTCAGACAGAGTGGCTCCTGGAGAGCAGGAACCCAGCCTCATTTATCTCATCCTCCCTATTGTGTGTGCAGCACAGATTCCAGAATAAAGAAAATCTCTGAGAATATCAGCGTGAGAATGACAGGCAGGGCAGATAAAGTACTAACAGCTAACAAGAATTGTATTATGTACTTTATACTTAATAATTCATTTATTACTCATACTTTCTGAAGTGGGTACCATTCCTATTCTCATAATCAGTGACAGGGCTAGGATTCTAACTCTGGCAGTCTAGCTCCAGAACCTGCACTTTTTATCACCTATACTTACACTTGATTATAATAATGACTTATAATACCATGTTTCCCCAAAAATAAGACCTACCCATAATATAACCCCTAGCAGGATTTCTAAGCATTTGCGCAATAGAAGCCCTACCCGAAAATAAGACCTAGTGGTGGGCGTGGCTGCGGCAGCGCATCTGCACAACCCACCTATTTCAACGCAGAGCAGTCAAGAACACAGCAGCCCTTCTCATCTGCCCCATGAGATCTCTGTTGCTTAAGAGAGATTGGGGCCAATGGTTCTAACGAAAATAGAGTCGCAAGAAATTCAGGGTGGAATTTGGGGTTTGGAGAGTTAGGATGATGTTCCAGAAGACTTCACTATATTTGAATAAATGTAGATTGTTGTACCGTACTTAAAAAAAATAACACAACCCCTGAAAATAAGCCCTAGGTGTCTTCTTGAGGAAAAATATAAGACCCTGTCTTATTTTCGGGAAAACACGGTAGTTAACATTTACGATTTACCGGGCACTGTGCTGAGTTTTGTTGTTGTTGTTTTTAATCCCTTGCCTAGTTAATACTTATAACCATTATCAACCATTTCCCAGATTGAAAAACTGAGGCAAGTCAAGACGGTCTATCTGCAGGGAACCCGCCTTTAACACGCGTGATTCATCTGGCTTCCAGCGAAGCATAAAAGACAGACGAAGCCTACTGCCTGGATTAGGAGGCCACGGAAAAGTAGGGGATGAGGGGGAAGTAAAACCCATCTCGGTTCGTCATTTTAACTACGCAGAGGGGTACCTGGGGGGATTATCCCACGATAGGGCGGATGAAGAAGAAGCCGAGGTTCGGGGCACAGAGCCCCAGGGGAAAAGCTGGCTTCAGCCTGGGCCCAGTGACTGGGCCGCAGGGGCGCGGGACCTCTAGAGACTACGACCGCCGCTCGACTCACCCACCAACAAGCCGTCGTCCCCCTAGCTTTCGACTTTCCCGCCCGGCGCAGCGTCGCTCTGACGCAACCGAGGCGCCGCACGTCGTGACGCAAAATTTCCGCGCCGGAAGTGGGCGGTGGCGGCCCACCTGGAAGCAGTGCGCTAGGCTGGGGTCTGCAGCAGAGTCCTGGCCCGGCTAGGCTGAGGGGCGTGAGAAGACCCAGAAGCAAACGCAAAGAGGAGCGCCTGCGCTCCAGGAAAGAGAAATCCGACTACTTTGGGCTGGGACCCGGTTTCCAGTGAAGATGGCGGGGCCAGAACTGCTGCTGGACTCCAACATCCGGCTCTGGGTGGTCCTACCCATCGTGATCATCACTTTCTTCGTGGGCATGATCCGCCACTACGTGTCCATCCTGCTGCAGAGCGACAAGAAGCTCACCCAGGAACAAGTGTCTGACAGGTCAGTGTCCTCCCTGCTTCGGCCGACCTCACTCTCTCTTGACCTTGGGCGAGAAAGTGCAGGGGTCATGTCAGTTTGCCTGAGTTCGCCTGGCGCCCTGACTGGCAGGGTGACCTTAGCTGTTACTTCTGTTTCATTTTTGTCTTCTGTAAAGTAAGGATAATAACAGTACCTGCCTCATACAGCAGGCGTGGGGATTGAATTAGAGGATGTCTGTAAAGAGCCTAGCATAGGTTCTGGGACGTTATAGGTGCTCAAAAAATTAATATTGTTAGGTTAGTTGCCAACCCTCGGTGGACTTGTTTTTTTTTTAATTGAATTTAATTTCTCCTTTCTGTTTATCGCAAGCAACTATTTATTATACTTAACCAAGATTGCACATGTAGAGAATCAATAACAATCTAGAAAGAAATTCTTCTTTTTTTTTTTTTTTTTTGAGACAGAGTCTCGCTTTGTTGCCCAGGGCTAGTGCGTGAGTGCCGTGGCGTCAGCCTAGCTCCCAGGCACCTCAACTCCTGGGCTCAGCAGTCTACTGCCTCAAGCCCCAGTGGCTGGGCTACAGGCATGCGCCACATGCCGGCTATTTTTTCTATATATATTAGTTGGCCAATTAATTTTTTTTCTACTTGTAGTAAAGACGGGCGGTCTCGCTCTTGCTCGGCTGGTTTTTGAATCCTGACCTCGAGCATCGCCCACTGGGCCCCAGAGTGCTAGGATTACAGGTGTGAGCCCCCCGCCGGCCCTACCTCTGCTTTTTGTACTGTACGTGATAATGAAGACCAGTTGCGGGGTGAGGGTGTTTTTTATTTCCAGTCTGCGGCAGACTGGCTGCTTTTTGTAAACATTTGACTCCATTCTTTGAGTTACTGAGAATGTCAGAACTTTTTGGAAATTATAAACCCTATGCATCAGTTTCCTAATAACTTATCCTTGTACGAGATACCAGGCGTTGGTAATAGGCCGACATTTGATAGATATCTTTTAGGCTAGCACGGGGGAACAGTATATGTTACATGATTACCATCTACAGGCGTGTGTATACAATAGATAACTGTCAGTTTTAACGAGGCAAGAGGGAGGAAGAACAGAGGGAATTCCACACAGGTCACTAAGCATCCAGAAGGCTTCCTGGACGAAGTAGGGCTTGAGAAGGTGTTAAGGCATGATGGGGGTAGAGTCTGGTGAAGGAAAGGGGCACCTCGAGGCACTATCAGCAATATGGAGAAGGCTAGGACATGTGTGTAGAGTGACAAGGAGACATCCACAGGTACTACTGGACTGGCTTTGCGGATGGGGTTTGGTATGGGAGCGAGAGAGTGAAAGCAAGCAGTTCTTCTGTGTTGTTTTGTTCTTTTTTTTTTTTTTTTTTTTGGAGCAGATCTCCACTCCACTGCCCGGCTGAGTGCCGTGGCGTCAGTAACTCCAAATCCTGTGCTTAGTGATCTGCCTCCTCCTGATATCTGGACTACAACATTGAGTCATCATGCCTGGCTTAATTTTCTATAGTTCTTTGTTGAGGCCATTAAATTTCATTTTCTTCTCTAGTTAAGAAACGTAGTCTCACTCCTCTTGATCCAGCTGGTGTTTTGTGTTTTTTTTTTTTTTTGAGACTGGCCAACCTTCACCTATCAAGATTTGTTTCAATCACAATTCTCTCTCGCTTGCTAGGCTTCGGTCTCGAGTTGCGTTGGCGTTCCTTGCCCTCACAGCGTGCAACCTCCCCATCACATTCTGGTAACTGGATGTTCCAAACGCTATCTGCTGGCCTCGCCTCTCAAGGTCTGCTGACTGAGCCACTTTCTTTTTCGTTAAGCCTACATGTCTGGGCTAAATTTTCGCTCAATATACACATATATATATATATATGATATTAGTTGGACAGTTATTTCTTTCTTTGTATAGTAGAAACAGTCTTGTCTGCTTAGCCGGGTCTTCACTCTGAGCTCAACATCGCCTCCCTCCTCCTCGGCCTTCCCAGAAGTTAGGGATTGATAGGCATGAGCCACTTACACCTGGCTGCTGTGTTCATTTCTGTCTTTACTTTCGTTTTTTTGTACTGTTTCAGGGAGACTTTCCAAGCAAATTTAAGGGCTTTTTCACCCCTTTCAACAATTTTTTGAATTGTCCTAGAAAAAGTTTAGTATATTTTACTCTGTTCTGTTTGGTATTGTATCGTTAGCAACACCACTGTATATATAATAGCACGTATATCTTAATCATCAATTCTCTAATCACCAATTGATTTCATTTATTATGGTTAATAATGGTTTATGAAGCGCTTTGCTACAGGACTTGAATCGCTTGGATGGAATTTGCGTGTTTGTTATCGATCAGTAACCCTCGGTCCTCGGGAGGTCCTGTTACTCATTCTAGTGGTATGATTTTTTGTGTTTTTTTTTTGTTTTTTTTGGACAGAGCTCTTTGTTTTTGCATCCGGGCTAGTGAGTGCCGTGGCGTCGGCCGCTCACGCAACCGTCAAATCCTGGCTTCAAGGATCGCTGCTGCCTCAGCCTCCTGTGTAGCTGGGCACAGGCATGCAGCCCACCATGCCGGCTCTTTTCTTCTATGATATTAGTTGGCACATTAATTATTTGTATTATAGTAGAGACGGGATCTCGTTTGTCAGTTGGTTTCCAAACTCCTGACTCGGCAATCCGCCACCTCGCTCCCAGAGTGCTAGGTTACAGCGTGAGCCACCGCGGCCCGGCCTCGTCAGTGGTTTAAGAAGTTCTTTCAGGCCGGCATGGGTGGGCTCGCAAGCTGTAATCCTAGCACTCTGTGAGGCCGAGGCGATGTGCTTGGTCAGGTCAGAGTTTCAACCAGCCTGAGCAACCTACGCGAGACCCTCTCTTACTATAATACAAAGAAATTAACTGGGCCAATACTAATATATAGAAAAATATCCGGGCATGTTGGTGCATGCCGTGGTCCCAGCTACTCGGAGTCTGAGGCAGCAGGATCGCTTGAGCCAGAGTTTGAGGTTGCTGTGAGCTAGGGCTGAGCGCCACAGCACTCACCTCTCAGCTGGGCACCAACAAAGCAAGACTCTGTCTCAAAAAAAAAAAAAAAACATAAGTTCTTTCTTTTATCCTCAGTCTTCCCCCCTTCTCCGGCCTCAAATCTTTGGAACAGTGTCCCACTGCTACTCTTTTCACTCAGAGAAAGTTCCTCTGTAGCTTATTATGAAGTAAGAAAAAGCTGAGAGTAATGTCCCAAATGTGCCTTCCTCATAAATCAGTCTTTGTTCAGAAACATAGTCACTTCTGAGAAATACTTTTCTGAAAACCTGTTAGATTAAATATGTTATGTTGGTTTTAAAGATACTTCCTTTTTGGAAAGTTTCCACACACAGCTATTGCCAAATAGGTCCTCTCTTGTGTTTAAGTAGGTCTTCTACGTTCTCATTTTCTTCTAGGGTTCACTTTTAAAAATCTCATTGTCTTGGTTGTATTTTTCAGTCAAGTCCTAATTCGAAGCAGAGTCCTCAGGGAAAATGGAAAATACATTCCCAAACAGGTACTCATTTATCTTTTATTAAAAAGCTCCACAATTCACCATTGAGGGCAGTAGATATCTGAATGTTTTGTAAGGGGACTCTTTGGGGAAAGCTGAAGGTTGGCCACTCGGTAATTAAGCTGTGTCCTGGTGGTGTTTACTGTCAGTGTGACCTCATCCTTCTTAGGAAATTGTTTTTAAATGTGACTCAGCTAAAGTGTCAAGTCAGCTGCCACATAGGCGGACAGCTCCGCGTGTAACAGCATGTTCCAAGGGCCTTCTGATGAAGCCTCCGGGGAACAGTTTGACAGTTTGTAATGTCACAGTTCTTAGACCTAAAAAGCTTTTTTTCTCTACTAGTCTTTCTTGACACGAAAATATTATTTCAACAACCCAGAGGATGGATTTTTCAAAAAAACTAAAAGGAAAGTAGTGCCACCTTCTCCTATGACTGGTATGTTTATTCCCTTCTCTCATCTTTAAGGAAGATTTTTAACACTGGTTATTGAGTGGGGCAAGGGAAAGGGTGGAGGGAGGATGACATTTTGTTTAAATATTGTAGAAGACAGTAATCTAAGGGACCTTAGAAATAATTTAACCCTTTGCACTCAGATGTTGAGTGTGACTTGACACGATTCGCAAAAATTATAGAGATTAAAATTACTCTTTGAATGTATCAATAATTTGAAATATAAAAAAATCCAAATAAAGTTTGTATGAAAAGAAACTCCAGTTTTTTATTCTACTGCCGCACTTTGTAAAATCTGGGGTATTAAAAAAATTAAATCCCGAGTAGAATAAAGGAATTGAGAAAAAAGCAAGCGAGTGCAAAGGGCTAATACGGGGATCTATGGAAGTGTAGTTCTCTTTCTCAAATAAATCTGGGATCCCAATGTATAAAACAAATTTTTTAAAAAAGAGAGCTCTTGGCCAATGGAGGGAGGAGGCCGGAGCCATTATCCCTGGGTTTCTCCTTGTTGCTGTTCCTCAGGACCAGGGTTCTGTGGAGCATAGCTGGAAAATCATTCTGGCCCCAGCTCCCACCTAGTGCCTGGATCCTATTGCTAACAGATGGTCACCCTGCTCCTGCCTGAGTGTGGAGCTCACTACTCCCCAAGGCCGGCCAGCCAGCCATTTATTTGTCAGACATGATTGCTTGGTCCACCCTACAGTTTTGGCTCTAACAGATTTCTTACTTCCATTGATCCCCATTGTGTAAAAAATAAAACATGTTTAAAGAAAAAGTAATTCTTGTTCTGTGTTGAGTGTCCTCTCATTTTAGTAGTACTTGTTTCTGATAAGATAACCAGCAATTTTAAACTCATCCAGAAGGTACAGGAGTTAATTTTTTTTTTAAGTAATAAAGATTGTATGGAATTAATTTTAACAAGTCTTTGAGGAAACTTATAAGAAACAAAGACCAATAAATACATGAAAAGAAACTTGACCTCACTGATAATCCATGGAATACAAATTAAAACAAGATGTCCTTTTTTAGCCCATTAAATTGGCAGAGATTGAAAAAATCGACCAAAGCCACTGTTGACAAGATCAGGGGAAGTCAGGCCCTCTCACCGTTGGTGGAGGTGCCAAATGGTAGTGCCTTCTCAAAGGACAATCTGACAATGTCTGTCGATCTTAAATGTACAAATCCTTTGACCCAGAAATTCTTCTAAGAAGTTCTCTCACAGAAACACACAAACATGCAGATTTATGTACAAGATAGTTGTTGGCAGCATCATTTATTGGCAAAAAAATTAGAAACAATCTATAGATCCACCCAAAAGCGATCAGTGCGACCACACAATGGAATCCTATGCAAGCTTTGAAAATATCAAGAGATATATATTATATCAGTGTGGAAATGCCATCCACCATATATTAATTTTTTAAAAATTCAGATGCAGAGTAGTAAGCATAGTATCCCTTTATTGGGTATGCATTTATATGTAAATTATCGGGTATATGTGTATAGAAAGATGCAAGGATATGCAATAAACAGGTAAAAGTTCAGAGAGTGGGCTCAGAGGAACTGTCTACATCTATAACGTTTCTATGTCATTTGAATTTTTTTATAATGAACTTGTCTTCAGTTATCAAGTACATTAAGGCTTTGTAGAAAATCCCTGCCAACAGGTGAAATCTAGTGGTGTCTTGTGCTTTTGTCTTAGATCCCACTATGCTCACAGACATGATGAAAGGGAATGTAACAAATGTCCTCCCTATGATTCTTATTGGTGGATGGATCAACATGACGTTTTCAGGCTTTGTCACAAGTAAGTAACAGACCCAGCAACCTTCATGCTTACTTCATCTGTGTTCCTTTCCCATGTCCCCTTTCAAAGAAATCCAAGTGCAACTGAGACACTAATTTCACAGGTCCTATGTTTTCTTGCAGAAACTGGTAACATTCTTGGAACAAAAAAAATGAGGGCTGGGCGTGGTGGCTCACACCTACAATCCTAACACTTTGGGAAGCTGGGGCAGAAAGATCACTTGAGGGCAGGAGTTCAAGACAATCCTGAACAACATAGCAAGACCCCCTCTCTACAAAAAATAGAAAAATTAGCCAGATGTGGTGGTACGTGCTGATAGTCCCAGCTACTCAGGAGGCTGAGGCAGGAGGATCACTTGAGCCCAGGAGTTTGAGGCTGCAGTGAGCTGAAATAACACCACTGCACTCTAGCCCAGGCAACAGAGTGAGACTCTGTCTCAAAAAAAAAAAAAAAAAACTATGATTATATGACTCTTTTCACAAAATGAGCCTAAGTCTATCATGTGGATGGTTTTTGCTTTTTGCTAATAGAGACTCAAACAAGCAGCTTGCAGTTTGTGTCCAAAACTAATATAGTAATTCTAGTTGAGTAGGATAAAGGGAAGCTTCTTTCTATTTTAACTTCATTTGCTAGGTGTTAGGGTAAGTTTATAATCTATTTGTTTATAAGTTGACTTGATTTTCATCAATTTGGTTTCTTAGTAATGTAGTTCTTTGTATGTATGTATTCCATTCAGGGTTTAATGGATCAATGCGAGTTTTTTCCAGATATTAGGTCACAGCTTACTTTGAGTCCTTGCTTCCTAAGCAATATAGAAGCTGGTATTATTTGGGAAAAGTAGAGCACAGTGACAATGTGGTTGTTGTTGTTGTTTTCAGAAATTGCTACAATTTCCTTGTGGAAATCATTTTCCAAAAGGTTTGTGGCAAGTTCCCACCTCCACAAGGAAAGAATACATAGGTTCATACTTAAATTATTCTAAAATAAAACAGCTCAGAGTGGTTGTGAACTTTTTTTTTTCTTTTCTGCAGCCAAAGTCCCGTTTCCACTGACCCTCCGTTTTAAGCCTATGCTACAGCAAGGAATCGAACTACTTACATTAGATGCATCCTGGTAAGAACTTTTTTTGTTTAATAAAAAATACAAACCAAAATCTAAGACTAGTGTCTCTTAAAGATCAGGATTTCCAGTTTGCATAATTCACTGGAATGGGTGTTTAAAGTTTATTTTTCAGCCGGGCTTGGTGGCTCATGCCTGTAATCCTAGCACTCTGGGAGGCCGAGGCGGGCAGATTGCTCGAGGTCAGGAGTTCCAAACCAGCCTGAGCAAGAACGAGACCCCGTCTCTATTATAAATACAAAGAAATTAATTGGCCAACTAATATATATAGAAAAAATTAGCCGGGCCTGGTGGCGCATGCCTGTAGTCCCAGCTACTTAGGAGGCTGAGGCAGTAGTATTGCTTTAGCCCAGGAGTTTGAGGTTGCTGTGTGCTAGGCTGACGCCACGGCACTTACTCTAGCCTGGGCAACAAAGCAAGACTCTGCCTCAAAAAAATAAAATAAAATAAAGTTTATTTTTCATTGAAATTCCACTCAAAATGTCATGGGTGGTTTATGGCAACTTTTACATGAGTCTTGCAAAAGGAAAGAACGTGTCAGCCTCTTTTCTGTAGCTTCCTGGGCTCAGGAATGCAGGGGTGGATGTGTTAAAAGTTAAAAGATTAAGCCAGGAATTCTGGCCAGGGCAAACCTTTTTTAGCAACACCCTGACGCTTATGGAAATGGATATTTGTATTATTTTTCCAAAATACATTACTACTAATGATAACATTAATAGTTTTCATTTGGCCGGGCATGGTGGCTCATGCCTGTAATCCTAGCACCCTGGGAGGCCGAGGCAGGCGGATTGCTCAAGGTCAGGAGTTCGAAACCAGCCTGAGCAAGAGCAAGACCTCGTCTCTACTATAAATAAAAAAGAGAAATTAATTGGCCAACTAATATACATAGAAAAAATTAGCCGGGCATGGTGGCGCATGCCTGTAGTCCCAGCTACTCGGGAGGCTGAGGCAGGAGGATCGCTTGAGCCCAGGAGTTGAGGTTTGCTGTGGAGCTAGGCTGACGCCACGGCACTCACTCTAGCCTGGGAACAAGTGAGACTCCGTCTCAAAAAAAAAAAAAAAAAAAAAAATAAAACTACATAACAATAACCTAATAAGAAATATAACTCTTCGTATCAGAACACTAGTGTCACTAAAGTGGTATAAAACTTCCCCACTGCACATTTGACGGCCAAAAAAAAAGTTTTAATTAAAAAAAGAAACAACTCTTCAATCAACAAGTTAAACTGCTTTAATATAGTGGATGAGTGTAATAAGTGAAAAGGACTATCAATGCCTTCTCTTTGGAACTCCTAGTGTCTTTGGTCGAACCAATATCATAAGGCAAAAGTCTGCCTGTCTCTCCTGCCTCTGGTGGTGCTTGCTTTGGTATGTCTCTTCCTTTATACATCACTATCATAGACCATTTTTAAATTCAATTATCTAGATCATAATTTTTTCCCACCTTTCTACGATCATGGAGAATGATCATAATTTTTTTAAGGAAGGTGTTTTAAAGAGTACGGACTATGTTGTATCTTTGTGTCTTAGACCTAGATACTGCACCATAGATAAAGTTATAATACTAATTCTCCTTATTGAATGTGGAGACTGAGGCTCAGAGGCTGTGGCATGCCAAAGTCATATCAGGAATTACAGGCAGAAACTCAACCCTAAATTCTCCTGGTACTAGATTCGTGTGCTCTATCCATTTAGCCTTGATGACTCTCAGCACTTGAAAAATAGGAACTTTAATCTCTTTAAGGGCTTCCCACATTTGCTACGAAAATGAAGCAACAAATGATTAGATACTTACTGGAGGCATCTTCCATCAGGCTCTCTTTATCCTCGGATTTTGACAATCTTCTTTTGGAACCATTTTGACCAAGGTCCTTTTTGCCCATAAATTGCTTCCTAGAGCAAAAACAGAGAATAGATGTTACCTCTAGAAGCTAAATTCCGAGAAGTTACAGCTATAGCTCAAAGAAAACTGCTGTATCCAAAACCAGAGGAGTTCTAGTCTTCATACTAATGCTTTTAAATCCAGGTGCTGCGAGCAAATTTCAATCCCTACATCTGGCCAAACTGTCTTCCTTTCACGATTGTTTACCTAGTTGCTTCTTTAGCAGACCACTTGTCTGTTGCTGAAGACAAACCCATAATTCTCCCACCTGAGATTCAGATTCTTTTATCATCTAGCCCCAAACTACCTGTCCTTTAACTCATTAATTCAATACTACTATTAGGGACTGTGCTAGGTGCTGGGTTACAATTGTGAACAAGCAGACATGATCTCTGCCCTCAGGGAATTTATAGTATATGAACACATAGTCATTTTTTAACTACAGTTGTATAAGTGTTATAAAAGAAAAGTACAGGGTGCTATGAGGGCTCACAAGGAAATTTATCTATTTGAGAGTGCAAGTGGTGAAGAAAAGCAGGGACAATTTCCGGGAAAATCTCCCAAAAAAGTGAATTTTAAGCAGCGTTGAGAGTTGGGATATGAATTAGCAAGTATAAGAGGTATAATACGTAGTATCCAGCAGAGAAAAACTCGTACTGAAACATAAAGGAGCCTGTAGAATTATAAATGACAACTGCAGAGGTAGGGGAGGGCCTGAATCACATAACTTTCTAGTTTATCTTGTAAACTAGAACCTTCCTGGTCTTAGTACCTTTGCACAAAAGTGTTCTCTTCATCTGAATTGCTCTTAATTGCCTGGAAGTTCTACTCATCCTAAAGACTCAGTCAAAGGTCATCCTCCTTGAAAAGTGTTCCTCCTATCCTAAGGAGTTTGCTATTCCAGGGTCCCTGTTCCAGGGAGTATACCTACCACATCGCAATAGGGTCAGACAGAGTGGCTCCTGGAGAGCAGGAACCCAGCCTCATTTATCTCATCCTCCCTATTGTGTGTGCAGCACAGATTCCAGAATAAAGAAAATCTCTGAGAATATCAGCGTGAGAATGACAGGCAGGGCAGATAAAGTACTAACAGCTAACAAGAATTGTATTATGTACTTTATACTTAATAATTCATTTATTACTCATACTTCTGAAGTGGGTACCATTCCTATTCTCATAATCAGTGACAGGGCTAGGATTCTAACTCTGGCAGTCTAGCTCCAGAACCTGCACTTTTTATCACCTATACTTACACTTGATTATAATAATGACTTATAATACCATGTTCCCAAAAATAAGACCTACCCATAATATAACCCCTAGCAGGATTTCTAAGCATTTGCGCAATAGAAGCCTACCCGAAAATAAGACCTAGTGTGGGCGTGGCTGCGGCAGCGCATCTGCACAACCACCTATTTCAACGCAGAGCAGTCAGAACACAGCAGCCCTTCTCATCTGCCCCATGAGATCTCTGTTGCTTAAGAGAGATTGGGGCCAATGGTTCTAACGAAAATAGAGTCGCAAGAAATTCAGGGTGGAATTTGGGTTTGGAGAGTTAGGATGATGTTCCAGAAGACTTCACTATATTTGAATAAATGTAGTTGTTGTACCGTCTAAAAAAATAACACAACCCTGAAAATAAGCCCTAGGTGTCTTCTTGAGGAAAAATATAAGACCCTGTCTATTTCGGGAAAACACGGTAGTTAACATTTACGATTTACCGGCCCTGGTGCTGAGTTTTGTTGTTGTTGTTTTTAATCCTTGCCTAGTTAATACTTATAACCATTATCAACCATTTCCCAGATTGAAAAACTGAGGCAAGTCAAGACGGTCTATCTGCAGGGAACCCGCCTTTAACACGCGTGATTCATCTGGCTTCCAGCGAAGCATAAAAGACAGACGAAGCCTACTGCCTGGATTAGGAGGCACGGAAAAGTAGGGGATGAGGGGGAAGTAAAACCATCTCGTTCGTCATTTTAACTACGCAGAGGGGTACCTGGGGGATTATCCCACGATAGGGCGATGAAGAAGAAGCCGAGTTCGGGCACAGAGCCCCAGGGGAAAAGCTGGCTTCAGCCTGGGCCAGTGACTGGGCCGCAGGGGCGCGGGACCTCTAGAGACTACGACCGCCGTCGACTCACCCACCAACAAGCCGTCGTCCCCTAGCTTCGACTTTCCCGCCCGGCGCAGCGTCGCTCTGACGCAACCGAGGCGCCGCACGTCGTGACGCAAAATTTCCGCGCGGAAGTGGGCGGTGGCGGCCACCTGGAAGCAGTGCGCTAGGCTGGGGTCTGCAGCAGAGTCTGGCCGGCTAGGTGCTGAGGGGCGTGAGAAGACCCAGAAGCAACGCAAAGGAGCGCCTGCGCTCCAGGAAAGAGAAATCCGACTACTTTGGCTGGACCCGGTTTCCAGTGAAGATGCGGGGCCAGAACTGCTGCTGGACTCCAACATCCGGCTCTGGGTGGTCCTACCATCGTGATCATCACTTTCTTCGGGGCATGATCCGCCACTACGTGTCCATCCTGCTGCAGAGCGACAAGAAGTCACCCAGGAACAAGTGTCTGACAGGTCAGTGTCCTCCCTGCTTCGGCCGACCTCACTCTCTCTTGACCTTGGGCGAGAAAGTGCAGGGTCATGTCAGTTTGCCTGAGTTCGCTGGCGCCCTGACTGGCAGGTGACCTTAGCTGTTACTTCTGTTTCATTTTTGTCTTCTGTAAAGTAAGGATAATAACAGTACCTGCCTCATACAGCAGGCGTGGGGATTGAATTAGAGGATGTCTGTAAAGAGCCTAGCATAGGTTCTGGGACGTTATAGGTGCTCAAAAAATTAATATTGTTAGGTTAGTTGCCAACCCTCGGTGGACTTGTTTTTTTTTTAATTGAATTTAATTTCTCCTTTCTGTTTATCGCAAGCAACTATTTATTATACTTAACCAAGATTGCACATGTAGAGAATCAATAACAATCTAGAAAGAAATTCTTCTTTTTTTTTTTTTTTGAGACAGAGTCTCGCTTTGTTGCCCAGGCTAGAGTGAGTGCCGTGGCGTCAGCCTAGCTCACAGCAACCTCAAACTCCTGGGCTCAAGCAGTCCTACTGCCTCAGCCTCCCAAG